GCTTGGCCTGTTAAAGGAAGATGAAAAATAACAAGCCTACTGGCCAGATCACCAGGTAAAAATAAAAGGGGTAATAATCCTAAGAGGAAAACTAATGCAGCCACCACATTAAGGATCAGTAAACTGTAACACACTACATGTTTTGGTTTAAATGCACTTTAATATAAAGAAATCATTAACAGGGTAATTCACAAAAGGGTGAAGAGTTTGGAGAAGGCAGGAGAAGTGAACAATGCAGAACAACATAGCTGAACTGGAAACATTCTCCAATTCAGCTCACTTTCCAGTTCAGCTATGCTGTCCTGAATAGTTCACATCTCCTGCCTTCTCCAAACCCTTCACCCTTATGTGAATAACCCTGTAACGTGAAAAAACAGAGGCTGGTATTATGTACACTGATTTGCCCAATGTGTGCGTGAATAAAATCAAACTGGCCTGGATTCTGAACACGCACCCCAGTGCACACTGGTGCAATGAGCTGACCCAGGATGCCAGATTCCGTATTTTGCTGAACTAGCGAGTAGAACGGTTTGGTGAGTATTAGAGCTTTCATCCTGATACCCATCTCCAGTGATGTCACAGTGCATGGTGATGCCAAGAGCCCATGACAGACTTCTGACAACACTAGTACATTTCTTTATTATTAAGGCTCTACACAAACTTTTGTACATGAGAGGTATCAGACCAGCAAGTGGAATCTGCTACCATCTTGCAGTGATATTTGGTAAACATATTAAAGCTTTAAGAGTACTGGAATACAGACAAACAAGCTATGGGACTGAGGCAGTTGTATACACTGAGTGGACTGAGTGGCCAGTTTATTATGACCACCTGACGTTTGTAGGCTAATTAGCTATAATTTCACACTGAAGTTGCTAGAGGGCCAGAACATTATAAATAGGGAAGCAGGTTGTTTACCACGACAGTAGAAGTGATTGTTTTTCTGAAGATATGTGTAAACAACGCCATTTAACAGCCTTTGAACGTGGGATGATTGTTGGCGCTCGGAGCCATGGAATGAGTATCAGCAAAACAGCAGAATGCATTAAATGTTCAAGAGGGGCTCATTGTTAAAGTGTTTAAAGACTGGACTGTCAGCGGAAAATCTGGGTCTGAACGTGCAAATTGTGGCCGTCAGTGACTAGTCAATGTTAGGGCAGAACGGAGAGTGGCAAGACTGGTACAAGACAACAGAAGGGCAACAGTGCAGTGTCAGATTCCTCGCATCACCTTTCAACATCTCGTGGAGTCACAAGGCGGCCCAACTAAGTCATCTGGTGGAGTCATCTCGTGGCCCAACGAAGTACTGATGGGGTGGTCATAATAATCTGGCCACTCAGTGTATTAAACATTCCCGGTACCCTTTTCAATTACAATTCCAATGCTGCAATATGGGATGCTTAAGAAGTACCATTAAAAAAATAATAATTATATTATTAAAAAAGCAACCCTAAGCATGTAGAGGATCCGTTTATCTTGCCACATAAAGACTACAGTGGTGCTTTTTAAATTAAGTTGGCCATACACTGGTAGATTTTTGTACAAATGTTGAAAAATCTCATCAGAACATTCGCTAATGACATCAGAGACTTGACAAATATTGTTTTGAAATTGAATTTGGCTAACATTTAATTTTAGAAACAAATGGAGCTTCTTAAACAAAAACCACATTTATAGTTAGGATTTTGTTCAAGAAAGAAAAACAATTTCCATCCTGTTCCTTCAATTTGTCCGTCACTGCGGTTGCAAACGATCACCGAGTTGACCCCATTACCTATTACCAAATGGAACAAACGAAATTCTACTGGTGTATGACCAGCTTTATTTGTATTGACCTAACACCAGCAGCATCACTGTCTCTCAACTGGCATATTAAAGGATTTATTCATCCAAGACTGATGATTCAGCCATAGGTGGGCTGAACTGCCGGCAGCTGTTTACATCTGTTGGTACCTTCAAGCAGAAAGATCTCACCACCCGAGTTCCTTCCTTTGCCCTATCAGAGGTAGGCAATAGCAGCCCTCCAGCTGTGGTGACAATACAAATCCCATCATGCCCCTGGAAGTCATGAGTGTGGCTGTCAGAGTCCTGCAATGTCTTATGGGACTTGTGGTTCCACAAAAGCTGGAGTGCTGAGTAGGGATGCACCAATACTAGTATCAGTGCCAATGCCTTGTACTCGCCCAAATGCTTCAAAGCCTAGCCCGATACCTGAGCTTCCGGTATCAGTAAGCTGGGCAGAGAGTCATTAGACGCTGCCCGGCTTGGAAGCCGGCTCCATGCACAAAGGATGGAGCCGGCTTCCCGGCCAATAAGGAAGCCGGGCAGCGTCTAATGATTCGCCGTCTAGCTTCCTGATTTGTCGGGAAGCTGGCCAATCAGGAAGCCGGATGGCGAGTCATTACCTGCCCCCTGGCCAGAAAGTCGGCTTCATGCTCCCTCGTCACCTGGTGACAAGGGAGCATGGAGCCGGCTTCACAATCATTTAGGAAGCCGGGCGCCGTGTAATGACTCGTTGCCCGACCTCCCGATTGGCCAGCTTCTCAACCAATCAGGAAGCTGGGGAACGAGTCATTACACGTTGCCCGGTTTCCTGATTGGCCAGAAAGCCGGACCCATGCTTCCTTGTCACCTGGTGGCGAGTGTTTACACGCCGCCTGGGTTCCCAGCTAATCAGGAAGCCAGGTGGTGAGTCATTACACAGCGCCTGGCTTCCTTAAATGGGACTTCTGGCATTGGTGAGTACCGAAAAAAGTATCGGCACCCGTACTTGATACCGAAAAAACGTTGTCGGTGCATCCCTAGTGCTGAGGTTGCCTACCCGTGCCCCATCACATCAGGAGACGTTCAGAACTCCTGATGCCCACTCAGGCATAAATGTAACATATGTACTACCACTAACTAATTTGATGCTGTAAGACCGGATAGTGAACTTCAGGCGAAAAAAATCTAAATACAAGTTAAAATAACATATGTTTACATTTTACCTGCCAAAGGATTTGTAATTCTGTTAGGCCATTCTTATGATTTCCACATCTCTGCTATTCCGTGAGATCACGCTGCTCCTTGCTGTTTTAGCAGGTCCACTCCCTGGTCACTGGGCCGTGGTGATGGTATTGATTCACTGCCCATTGAAGAAGCTGGAGGCAGAGAGGTATCATAGCGCAAAGAACTGGTGAACCAGGAAGCATTGCTCACTGCTTGGCTCATATATACATATGCCTTTTAACTGCATTATTTAGTGGGTTGCCCAAAGTTTTGCTTAATTCACACAAGAAGCTTAAATATCCCAAATGTTATTATTCATACTTTGTATTTCTTTATGCATGCCCAACATTTGAACATCTCCGGTGCCCAAAAAGGAACCTATTCACATTTGCTGCAGTTCATTTATGGCAACAAGCAAAATATGATGCTTATTTGGGCCTAATAAATATTTCAAGTGCCAAGAAAATAACAATGTGTAGATATCATGTATTGCCTTGTAAAAAGGTGCCCATACGCCTTACGATTATCGTACGATTATCGAATGCGATCGACTTTTCGTACGACAATCGTAACGTGTGCATAGAGTGCCCGACCCATAGTACTGTACAAGCGTACGACTTTGACGGTCAAGCATGTTTGAAAACTTTGGTTGATCGTACGATGCTCACGTGGTTGATGGAGTTTCCGTCCGTCAAAAGTCGTACGAAAAAAACACCTGGACGACTTGCGGTAATTGACCGTAATTATTTTCGTTTGCGCAGTGCATGCGCAAACTAAAATAATTACGGTCAATTACCGCTAGTCGTCCAGGTGTTCTAGTTTAACCAACGCTGACTGAATCTTGCCATAATCGGGGCAGGATGGGGCCGTCGTCCGAAAATCGCACAATGGTTCGATCATCGGACGAAACGTTTTGTCCGATAATCGTAAGGTGTATGGGCACCTTTAGTTCCAAGCCAAATATTGTTCTAGCCTGCCTTGATTGTTCCAAAGGCTAGAAAAAAAGATGGAGTGATACCTTAAAGTAAACCAGTCACACCCGTGAACAATTCAAAATCAGCAAATGATGAAAACCTGAATCAGCCAAGATTACCATCTAAAAACTCTGCATGTCAAATGATTAGATCCACAGATATAGGCATCTGAAGTTATACACAAGTATTGACTTTTCCTGTAAAAGTCAGGCTTTGCCCTGCCCCCTCCCTATTAGTTCTTTCCGTTCATTCAAGAAGAACTCTCGGCTACCACTGCACTGCAAGGGTTAGCTGCTTGTTTTTATCTAGGGAGGAAAATAATTAAGTTATACTCACCCGATCCTCCAGTCCCTTCTGCCTCTCTCCCACTCTGCTGCAGTGGACTAAGGTCCCAGAGTCAGTATGTTCTATATACAATGTATTGGACATGAGGACGCCAAGGAACGTACCATCGCTGCCGTAGAGGGGCAGCTAGAGGGAGGCAGGAGGAAGCACTGACAGCCGGCCAGCTCTGAGGTTTGGGCGAGTATAACTTCTGTTATTTTCCTCCCTAGACAAAAACGAGCAGTTAACCCTTGCAGTATGGGGTAGCCCCACTGCAAGGGTTAATAAAAATGTTGCCCAGAGTTCTCCTTTAACCAATAGACAGTCTAAAGCTGGCCATACACCGATAGATTATCTGCAGATATTCTATGGTCAGATGGAAAAAGTGCAACAGATTCCTCCATCTACGCTAAACTGTGTGGATGGAGGAATCTCCCGCTGGGCCAAGCTTTAGTATCTTGCTAGTCGGCCCCACTGGCTCTCAAAATACCTGAACAATGCCTGCATCCAATCAGATTGTTCAGGTATTTTGACAGCCAGCGGGGCCGACTAGCAAGATCCTGAAGCTTGGCCCAGTGGGAGATTCCTCCATCTGCAGCCAAGCCCAACTTTTACAGAAGGTTTTCAATGCATATTCACCTACCTGCTCTGAATGTAGAACTAATTTTGGCATGCGGATTTCCCAGAAGGTAACCCAGGTGTGTGAACGTTAAACATCAGACAACATTTAAATGCTGGAAGCATACGATAATCTGTACCAAAAACTAATCTGTAGAAAAATCGTGACCTGTCATCAAACCGTTAATAAAACCCTACGGCCGTCTGTGTGCAGTTCACATGCGGCATAGAGCTTGCATAGAGGCGGCTGACATGAACCGTTTGTAGAGGGTGCAGGTAGCATGCGTAGACAGGTGGCCGAGAGGTCGGATGTCAGGAGATTGTCACAGGCTTTTCTTCTCCTGGTCCTGAAGATGGCCGAGACTGGAAGCTGAGAACTTTGGACTTAGCGGAGCTTCAGATCATCCCCGCTTCCAAGACCCGCAGTTGGGTCCTGCTGTCGCCGAGCCTACACCAAAGAGAAGTTCTGTTTAAAGTTAACATAGCATTGTAGGTGTGTATGCTGAGATTTGTAAAATATAAAAGTACAGTAATGGGAAACAGAGTTTATAATTACAACGAGCACATAGTTTTACATTATTACTGAAGTGTTCGCTTTAATTTTTTACAGAACCGTCACATTTTACATGCTTGCTCGTTCATATGTTTCTTACTGCATTAAATATAGACATTTGTAGATTAGCCACTAGAGGGAGCTCTGCACTTCACGAAAATTGATCATCCTTCCATATCTCTGACAAATGTACGATGGGATATCATCCACCCAGGGAGTGAATTGTTTTTTAGTGGGTCAGCAGCATGGAATTGCACTGCGAGAAGCAGTAAAAACACAACCACTGTATAGCATGGCAAAGCAGACCCCTCCACCATACTGAGCCAATATAGCTGCTCCATGTACATCTATAATTACAATTATACAGGAAACACGGCTACTTACATTAGGCTGCTCACATGGTGCTCCACAAGCCCATTTGAAGCACAGGTTTGTCTAACGGTCTCCTAACACTGAGGGTCTTGTGTACCCCCCAAAAGAACAGTAGAACACATGCCCTGCTGCTTTCCTAATTAGGACTGTAGAGGAACATTCAGATGCTATACAGTCAGGGTCTTTGATGAAAACAGAACTCGGAACCCCAGATCTAGGGCTGCCACCAAGGATTATTTTCATAATCGATTAGTTGCCCAATTATTTTTTCAACAAATCGATTGATCTACCCAGATCTGCAAGTCCACAGCGCTAACCATAGCAGCAACAATAGTGCTCACAGGATGATTTATCATAACAGCAATAATCTGCACAGTCCCTAATAGAAGAAAGGATATCTCCGTAGAAAAGGGGAGAGATGCAAATAGGGAGAGGGATTGGACTAATGCTGTCGTTGCTACCATACAAGCAGGGTTATTGCACTCAGATTGCAGTTGCCTGATCCAGAACTTTTAAATTCTATAGGAAGCCCCTAGCTCTACTTGCTGGTGGGATGGAAAAGAGCGATTGGATGGTTGAGAAAATCTGTTCCAATCACTATTACCTCACCACCATAAAACCAAAAAGCTGGTGCTGGTCTCTTCCTCCCTGCCCCTTCTTCTATGTTTCACGTTCATAGAATGCTCTGGTGCTCTCTGCAGATAATCTTTCCCAGAGGGTAGTTAGTCTGTGTATGCCTGAATTACAGCACTGTCAATATATGGACATCAGACCACTTCTACATTAAAAAGAAAAACCTCTTAAAGTGACATTAAATGCACTAAAAATGCATTCAAGTACCAAAATGTATCTTATTTGTGTATCACTCGGCTGTAGATCCTCAAATCATCTCTGAATTGGTGCTGACACTGTCCTTCCTTCTGGAGGGTGGCTACTTTTGTTCCCCATGGTCCCTGTGTGTGTTGTGAAGTAGCCCCCGCTCCAAGCTCGCTCCTGTGATGGACTACAATCTTGATACAAATTAGTAAACTAAACAGTAGATTGTATTCCATCACCAGAGTGATCTTGGAGTTGTGGCTACTTTCCAACACATACAGGGACCATGGGGAACAAAAGTAGCCTCCCTCCAGAAGAAAGGACAGTATCAGCACCAATTCAGAGATGATTGGAGGATCTACAGCCGAATGATACACAAATAAAGATTCATTTTTGTTAATAGTTAAAAAGGTGCTTGAATGCTTTTTATAAGATTTAACTGCTGAGCTTAGTGTCATTTTAACTAAACAATTGCATGCTGCTTGATAAAGGTGGCTATACGCATTACCTTACATTTATGCAACCTATCTTTGGTACATTAATGATTGTAATGGGGATTGTGCTAATACATACATGACAGTGTTCCTCTATCATCTGATCAGCTTTGATTTCACCATTTTCAGTTTTGATGCTTAATAAATAAACAGAAAAATGACTGGCACCATGCAGTACATTACCAGCAAAGCTCCATATAAGACAGAGGCATCAGTCACTGCTCAGACTTATCCACAGGTCAAATTACTGGGGTTACGTGAATTTGTTTGAGATGGCTACTGTACATTGCTTCTCGATTTAAATGTTAGAACAAATGTGTAGCAAAATGTTTTATTTAGAAAGTAAATCTAACCAGCAAGGATACAAATGGTGGGCCAAATGAGAGATAAACGGTAAAACAATGAAGTGTTCTCATTTGAACAGCAGAGGGCGCTCCCGTCTACCCGTACACATCTGCAAATTGAAATCACAAGTTGACATACTGTGGTGAGGAAATGGAGCTGAGCATGAAGGCCTGTGGTAGATTAATAAAAAACGGGGTGGCTGACAATGCAAGAAGAGGTATGCTGAGCCAAAACAGACTTGGATGAGAGCACACGGCTCAGGGAAAAAAAAAAAAAAGGATGAACCAATCTCTGCAAAGAAAGAAAAATCCATGTGCCTGAACATGACATCTGCACTGCTTGGCTGCCAAGGACCAGGTCAGATCTAATGCTTGGCAAACTACAAGCACCAGCAGCCCCTAGAGGTACACTTATAGACAGGAAGCACAGCCATGCATATAGACACAAGTGCTAATTGTTTTAAAATGTGTCATCACAGCAGTGCCAAGTCATTACTTAAGGTGCCCATACACCTTACGATTATAGTATGCGATCGACTTTTCGTACGACAATCGTAACGTGTGCATAGAGTGCCCGACCAATAGTACTGTACAATCGTACGACTTTTGACAGTCAAGCATGTTTGAAAACTTTGGTCGATCGCACGACGTTCGGTTGGTGGCGTTTTTTTTTGTCAATTACCACAAGTCGTCCAGGTGTTTTTTTTTTTTTAACTACCGCTGATTGAACCTTTCGATAAAATCGGGGCAGGATGGGGCCGTACGGTTCGATCATGAAATTTTTCGTCCGATAATCGTAAGGTGTATGGGCACCTTTAAGGTCCCCACACACCTTGCGATAATCGTACGATAATCGCGGGAAATCCCCCGATCGTACGATTATCGCAAGGTGTGTGGAAGCCATGAAACCTCTACTACTGTAAGGTCGCACGACTTAACTTACGAGCACGTTCGAAAACCCGCCGAGCATCGTTCGGCATTGCGTTCATCGGAAGCCCGCCCCTCAGGGGGGCGTGGCTTGCGATCATCGCAAGTACGATCTGCCTGTCCAAGATAGGTAGATCATACGTTTTTTTAAGTACCTTACAACCATCGCAAGACAAAAGTCTTGCGATGGTTGTAAGGTGTGTGCCCAGCCTTAAGGTGCCCATACACTGCCCGATTCTCGTACGAGAATCGCGGGAAATCCCGCGATCGTACGAGAATCGAGCAGTGTGAACGGAGACGTGCGACCGTTTCTACTGTACGGTCGCACGTCTTCGGTCGAACCAGCATGTGCGAAAACCAGCCGGGAATCGTACGATTCTCGGCTGGTTAGAACGGTGCTCGGAAGACAAATGCCGAACGGGCCGGTGTGCGCACGCGCACACTGCCCGTTCATCATTGCGGTCATCGGAAGCCCGCCCCTCAGGGGGGCGGGTTTGCGATGATCGAGAGTGCGATCTGCCTGTCCAAGATAGGCAGATCGTACGTTTTTTTAATCCCTGTACAACCATCGCAAGACTAAGGTCTTGCGATGGTTGTAGAGTGTATGGCCACCTTTACACTGCGTCCACTATTGCAAAGGTGGCCGGCTTTCAAATTATAATGGGCATCACCTGAGGCTTCTGGGGTCAACAAGGAGCTGCACAGGATATTCAGTACATCTAATGCTACAGAAGACTTCCAAAGACGGCAGACATACTATAAAGAGACTGTCAGAGACTACAGACATACTATGGGAGACCGCCAGAGACTGCAGATATACCACAGGAGACGGTAAAGAGACTGCAGACATACTACAGGAGACTGCAAATATACCACGGGAGACTGCCAGAGACTGCAGGCATACTACATGAGATAGAGTCTGAAATGCAACAGGTTTGGTTGGGGACATGTTACAGAAGGCTGATAAAAAGTTTACAATCCACTACTCCCTTACCACTGACTACTAGGGTCTAAAGGCTACACAACAAGTACTGAGGGCCAAACGTGGCCCTTGGGATACGGATTGGGCTCCAGGGCTTTACTACAGGTCCTGAGTGATGCTGATAAGTTGAGTCAGTGGAGGAGGAAACGTATGGACAGTTATGACACCCAGTGACAGTTATGATAATCACATGTTTCAATTCCATCATTTCTCTTTTCCTACATGTATGTTTGCAATGTACAGGGCCCACCCCCCTCTAGAATGGGAGCTCATGCACACAAGTAGTAGTTATTACTCAGGGGTACTGACCAGTTAAGGGCAGCGTGGTCGTAAAACTCTCACCTCCATTTCCTCCCGGTGAGAGCGATCTCTGTCCTCAAATTCTCGGGTTCTCCTGCGAGCGTCCTCAAATACCTGCTGTGCCAGAGCATCTTCGTGCTGCAAGACAAGTACAATCGAGTCTGCCAACTTCTCAGGCTTAGAGATCTGAACTCTATCCAAACATAATATGAAGTAATGCTGGTCGCCTTCCAGGCCTAGGATGCTGACAATGCTCTTTGTGACTAAACCTTATCTATTATGTTGATGTGT